TGAGCCGCATGTGGCCCCACCCCTGAGCCGCATGTGGCCCCACCCCTGAGCCGGTGAGATTTGAACAGCCGAACTGCAGAACTGCAGTCAGCTGAAGTAGCCTGCAGTGCTGCATTTAACCACTGCGCCACCTCGGCTCTTACCAATATACTATTGGTAAATATCACCAAGTTGTCTTGAATATATAAAAGGATCTCAAATTTATGTTGGAAATGTCAACAAGAAAGGAACATTTCCCTATGTTTGATGGATGCGTAAAAAATCTAAAAATTTCTGAATTTAAATACATACACTGATGTATGTGACAAACAGCTGGGAAAAAAATCATGCAACTTTGTTTTTGTACTTAAGCAACATTATTGTATGTACAAAGATGGGAAGATGTAGTACTATTCACAAAGGAGGAATGATTGGTGAAGATAATACAACTTGCTGAAAAGATCAAATTGATTTCTTTAATGAAAGAAAATATCCACACAAAGTATTGGCTGGAAATCTTTAGGGACAGCAAAAAAGGAACTTACGATTTATGGTTTTTTTGTATAATTTATAGGATAAATTATAGAATGAAGAAAGTTATAACCACAGAGTAAGAGATAAATTTTAATTGAACTGAAGCTACTTTTTTGTATCATTTCTTTTTCTTTCTTTTTTTTTCCTTTCTTGCATTTTCAGTTTTCTTCTAGTTTGCATTTTATTTATTTAACCTGCAGATTTAACCTTTTAATCAGGTTTTATTATTACAACTTTTACTTGTGCCCTAACGTCATGCAACTTTCTCATCCAGTAATTTTTACCTTCAAATTATTTTCAGTATGGTACTTGGCACAAGATCGAAGTTGAGTCACCCAGTACTGTCTCTCCTTTGTATCACCAGCTAGAAATAAACATACATGAAATAATCTGTATCATAATTTAAAACATATTAAAAGTTTTTTATTGCTTTGAAAATGCCCCATGTTCTCAAATGCCCTGTGCTAAAATTAAGGTATTCTGATGAGTGAAAATCAATTTGTCTATCTCGCTTTTAAATCTGAGGTATATAAATTAATCCCAATATATCAAAATATTTACTTACAATTTAAATACATATTGATAAATTAAGAAGTTTATCTTCCTGTAAACAAACATGCCCCACAATATGAAATGTACAATTCAGGGAATTCTATTCTATAATATATTCTTCTTACATTTTCCAATTTAATTAAATCAATAAACTTTCAATGAACTGAGATGGCGCAGTAGTGCAGCTGCAGTTCTGCAGTTCAAATCTCACCAGCTCAAGGTTGACTCAGCCTTCCATCCTTCCGAGGCAGGTAAAATGAGGAGATTGTTGGGCAATATACTGACTCTGTAAACTGCTTAGAGTGGACTGTAAAAGTACTATGAAGCGATATATAAGTCTAAGTGCTCTTGCTACTGCTATTCAATAACTTGCTACTGCTATTCAATAACTTTTTCAGCCTTGAAAGTTTTAATTAAAACTTTCAAGCAAAAGTGTTTACCACAATTAATATAGTTGGAAGATCATACTGTGTTACGGGAACTACACCCTAAAGAATACTATACCTCTCAATTTATACATTTCTCCATTAGCAGAATATACCACCAACATGTTTGGAGCTTCATCACTGAGAGAAACTATAGCCCCAGCTAAAGATAAGATTCCTCGAGGCTTCTGGTTTTTATTCTGCTCATTTACAAAGTACTGTAGAATTCCAGTCTCAAAATCCAATATAAAATACCTGTTAATTAAAGAAAATAAAGATATATAAGTTATTTTTCTCTGGAGAATTTATTTTGAAACCCAGAAAAATAAAAATCTAAAACCAATACATGTAATAAATGTAGACATTTCATATATAATATTGACAAATTAATATTTGCCATTGTTCAGTAAGAAATTTAAGGCTGAAAAATAAAAATATTCTTGAAATATCTAGAAATGGCAAAGTCATCTTGAGATTACTCACTGGAACAATTTAATATCTAAAATACAAGGTACTGTTTTAAGATTAAAGTACTATACAATTGATAGATGGTGGTCTCTATCTCTTGAAATTAAAGGGGCACAAGACTATTCAAACAGAAAATAAATTAAAACGCTAAACCATTGCATTGAAAACTCAAAGGTGTCGTATACAGAAGTAGTTCTTTACTTACAATAGTTCATTTAGTGACCATTCAAAGTTAGGGCACTGAAAGAAGTGACTTATGTGTCAGGGTTCCAAGTAATACCCCCCAAAGAAAGAAGAGGCTTCTTATCTGTCAAGGTTCCAAGTAACACCTCCAATGGAAGATTCAGTTTTTCACACTTACGACTATTGCAACATTTCCCATGGTCGCATGATCGAAATTCAAATGTTTGGCAACTGGTTCATATTTATGAAGGCTGTAGTGTCCTGGGATCATGTGTTCAGCTTTTGCAACCTTTTGCCAATCAAAGTCAATGGGGAAGTCAGATTCCCTTAATAACCATGTTACTAACTTAACAAATGCAATGATTCACCTAAAAACCATGGTAAGAAAAGTCATAAAATGGAGCAAAGTCACCACAAATGTTTCACTTAGTAACATAAATTTTGGGCTCAAATGTGGTTATAACTTGAAGACTAACTGTATTACACTGAGTTTATAATACTTTTTGATAGAGGCAAATTTTCAGGAACCAAAAGTTACCGGTAACTGGCAACTTCAGCCAAGACAGTCATTTTTGTGCTGATGAAATCTGCAGCACAAACATAATGAAAATTTCATTATCACAAATGAGCTTACCTTTTGCTTTGAACATTTTAATATCTCAGAATTCCAATTCAAACAAATAATTGAATGGCTTGCAGCTGTTGTAGTTAGTTTCCACTGAAATAGACCATTGGCTTACCTGAATGGTCGTTCTCTAGGCACTGCGAAGTGTCCAAGCACGGGTTAACTTCAGCTTGCTGCCCAAGGAACTGAGTTTTAAAATTGTTGTAGCTCCGCCTCTTGGTTGCCTCAGAGGCTCAGTTTCGAAAAACGAAGGAGATTCCATAGTCCATAACTCGAACCAGTCCAAGTCCAAGACCTAAGGTGAGAAAAACACATCTCACGACCCCACCTCAAGGGTGGGTTTGGACACTCTGCAGCACCTAGAGAACGACCATTCAGGTAAGCCAACGGTCTTCCTCCTAGGTGCTGCTTGGAGTGTCCAAGCATGGAACATGCCAAAGCTATGTCGAAGTCAGGAGGGAAGAAGAAGAACCGTCCGGGGCCACGGTGCTCGCCACGACTCTCTGCAAAACTCTCCTTCCAAACGACGCCTCAGTAGAGGCGAACATGTCAAGTTTGTAGTTTCGTATGAATGGAGACGGACCAGACCACGTAGTGGCACAGCAAATTTCCTCAATTGGTGCTTGAGTAGCCCAAGCAGAAGTTGCTGCGCTCCTCGTAGAATGTGCGGTAATAGGAGGAGGAACCGGTCTGGCCAGAGTCTCGTAAGCCATTTTGATACTTGCTCTGAGCCAGCGTCCTATGGTGGAGGACGTGACCTTCTTTCCCATGGAAGCAGGAATGAGACAAATAATGCTTCTGACTTACGGAAGGGAGCAGTCTGCTTCATATAAATGCGTACTGCCCGCCGAAAGTCCAACTTGTGCCACGTTACCTCTCTTTGGTGCCTGGGGCACGGACAGAAGTCCGGGAGAATTACCTCCTGCGCTCTGTGGAAAATGATGTTGATCTTTGGGACGAAAGCAGGATCCAATCGTAAGATGACCTTATCGGGGTGGAAAATACATAGGTCTCCTCTAACCAACAAGGTGGCCAACTCCAATATCCTGCGGGCCGAGGTGATTGCCACCAGAAAGGCAGTTTTTAGGGTCAGGTAGCACAGGCCCACCATCTGCAATGGCTCAAAGGGGAGTGCAGCAAGTGCCTGTAGTACAACAGTCAAGTCCCAGGTTCGGTACCTGTGGACAGTGGGCGGACAGATGTTGGAAGCCCCTTGCAGGAAGCCCCAAACCTGGGGATGCCTAGAAAGTGGTAACTGAGAGTCAGTGGACAGAATGGTGCCCAAGGCAGCCACTTGTCAACGGAGAGTGTTAGGCATGAGGCCCTTTTCCAAACCATCCTGCAGAAAGTCCAGGACTTGTGAGATGGTCGCGGACGAAGCACTTATGTGACAGTTGAGGCACCAACATGAGAAGGGCGACCAGGTCGCTTTGTAAATTCTGATGGTGGAGGGTCGCCTAGACGCTTGAATAGTCCCGATGATTCTGTCAGAAAAACAGTGAAGCCTCAGGAGGTCCCCCTCAAATGCCAGACGGCCAACTGCAGCCACTGGGGCTCCGGGTGTTAAATGGCCCCCTGGCTGAGGGAGATTTGCTCCTGAGGTATGCGCCATGGCCAGGATACCAACAAACTGACCAGGCCGGCGAACCAAGTCCTCCTCGGCCAGTGTGGAGTTACTAGCAACACCTCCATCCCCTCCTCTAGGATCTTTCGAATGACCTGCGGAATCAGAGGAAGAGGGGGAAAGGCATACAGTCGACCTGGAGGCCAGCGGGATCGAAGAGCGTCTGTGCCCTCTGCCTGGGACAGTGGAACCTGGTGAAATACTGGGGGAGGTGCATGTTGGTCGGTGAGGTGAACAGATCAACGACTGGATGGCCGAATCTCCAGGACAGCTGGCATCTGGTCTGCCCAAATCGAGGCCAGATGTCTCTCCACCCAGCGGCCCAGAGCTTCCGCTTCCGACATCAGAGCCAGGGACCACGTGCCGCCCTGATGGTTGATGTAAGCTTTGGCGGCTATGTTGTCGCTCAGAATCAGATCGGCCCCTGACCCGATCGAGGAAATGGCACAGGGCTAGTCTGGCTGCCCGAAGCTCTAGCCAATTGATGTTGTAGGTGAGCTCCGCCTGCGACCATCTGCCCTGGACCACTGAGGTCTCTAGGTGAGCCCCCCAGCCAAAGAGACTGGCCTCTGTAGTTATTATCTGATGGTCCGGTTCCCTGAAGCAACTGCCCTTGAGGAGGGCCTCTGACAGCCACCACCTGAGGGAATGGAGGACCTTTGGGGGGACCCATATCACCCATCTGGAGTTGCTGGCCTTGCATCTCTGGAGAGGGAGCATAAACCACTGCAGTTCTCGCGTGTGCAACTGCGCCCATGGGACCACCGAAATGCACGACACCAGCTTCCCCATCAGCTGAGAGAGGGAGACGATCGACGCTGACCTGGTCGAGCGGATGCTCCTCAACAGAGTCCTGATGCTGTCCACCCTCTCCTGAGTAAGGAAGACTTGGCAAATCTCGGAGTCGATGATCGTTCCGAGGTGCTGGATTCTGCAGGCTGGGGTCAGGTGACTTTTGGCAAGGTTGACTGAGAACCCGTGGAGCTGCAGGACCTTGATGGTGGTGTTCAAATCGGTCCGGGCCTGCCCCTGGATGACGAGTGGATAAGGATGTCATCCAGGTAGCATTCCAATCTCATGGGAAGAGACCAGAGACGTGCAGCGACAGCAGCCAGCAGCTTGGTGAATGTCCATGGGGTCGACGAGAGGCCGAAGGGGAGAGCCTTGTACTGGTAGTGGCGATCGGCGAACTGGAACCTCAGGAACTTGTGATGCGCTGGGTGTATCGGAACATGCAAATACGCTTCTTTCAGGTCGATCAAAGTCAGCAGATTGCCCTGTCTGATGCAGCCCAGGATGGTCTGGAGGGACTGCATCTTGAAGCGCTTGTACGCTAGATGTTTGTTCAGCTTCTTGAGGTCCAGAATCACTCTCACACACCCTGATGACTTGGGGACCAGGAAAAGGATGGAGTAAACCCCCCTGCTTTCTTGACCCCTGGGGACTTCTTCTATGGCCGCTATCTCCAGAAGATGGTCTATTTCCACCCTCATAAGTTGGAGCTTGTGGGCGGACCTGGGGATGGGGCAGCGGAGGAAGGTTCTTGGGAGAAGGGACAGGAACTCCAGAGTCAACCCATGGTGGACCATGTTCCTGACCCAACTGTCCGTCATGGTCTCCTCCCACTGGGCGGCATAGAGTTGGAGATGGCCGCCTATGGGGGGAGCTCTGTGACAGTCACTTAGATTTCTGAAAGGGTTTGTTAGAGTAACCCCCTCGGAATGTCTTACAGTACTCACTCTCCTGGTGCGTGCATGTGTGTGTGTGTTGCACACATACAGACATCCTTGACCAAAGAGAAACATTTCTTTTTCAAATTCATTCATTAAAAAAGAATACACTTCAATCA